TCAGGTATGCCTGCTAATTTGTTTATATTTTTTCTTTGTTGTCGAGCTGCTTTGCATTGTAAGCTTCTACCTTATTTAAGTCGATGATATCTATTAATAAAATCATTCCTTAAAAAAACAAAACCAGTTATATAAATAACCACAGTTATAATTATAACAAATATATTAAAAATAAATCACTAAAGCATAACAATTATAATTTTAAAACGATGACACCGATTATTTTGTTATGAAAAAAAAATAGATTTTATTTTCAACTGAACTTATATTTCACCCTCTTGAAACTATTTAAAAATGGGAGGTTACAACTTACCCATAATGTCGAAAATTAAAATCACACCCTTCATTTTAGACAAGACAAACACGGTGCACAACTAATGACTTCACTTCGTGATAAAGATGACTTGCTTTAGAAAGTAGAATATTGCTTAAACCCTGCTGCAAGTGTTTCGAGCGCGGTAGAATGCTTCTAAACAAGGTGTAAACATTAAAGAAAAGGCCAATAGACAACCGTTACCAAGGATAGGCTTCGAGGCATAGAAAACATTCCAAAATCCATAGAGGTCTAGCAGCCTCTCCACCAGACACATCACCGTAAATAGGTTACTAAAAGTCCCCAACTCTTTTATCCCCACAAAAAAGGGTAGTTTGCAAGTAAAATTTGTGAAAGGATGACATTCTAAGCACTATCTTAATCAGAAACTTTAAAACGAACCTCAGCTTTTCATAAACATTTTTCTGAACTCATCATTTGATTTTGGCTTCTCATCATCCTCTTTCATGCTTCCTGGTCTGTTAGCAGTCCATCCAAGTGGTTTTAACATTTCTTGGGACTGCAAATGTGTTCTTCCCCTGGAGCTGGATTTTCTCATCACGCTTACGACCTGTGGATTGTGGTACATGTGGTGCTCTAGATCCCTTTGAGTTTTCATCAGATACTTTAGATACATAACTCCCATGCTTTCTCCACTTTGATTCAGTTTAGACACATCAGAATCTAACAAACAAGTTACCCTGTAACAGGGTGTTATGATGGAAGGGAGATTAGGGTTTGATCAGAGGGAATTAGGGAGTAATCGAGGAAGGAAAAAGGGGGAAAATCGGCTGAAATTGGAAAATGAAAATGAATTAGGGATTGAGTTATTACCTGAGGGATTTAGGGTTGAGGCATCGAAAGGAATGGGGTGGATTGCAGGAGCAGGCTTATATCATTAAACCTTCAGCCAAATGGGCCCAGTCAAGTAATGACCCAGATCAGAGTGAAATGAAGGAAACAGACCAGCACGTGAGCCCACTTGGAGATATCTTGTGAATCAGCAAATGAGTCGTTAGTTTGTTAGATTTGCTGGCAGAATTACAGCTGTAGGTACTTGTGAATATATAAGTTGTATCTGAAATTCTAAGAAAATCATGAATGAAATCACACGTTTTCTGTATCCCTCTCTATTTCTTTCTTTCTGAAATCTTTCATTTTCTTTACAACAATCCTAATTCATAACAATTGGTAATCAGAGCTGAGTTTTTTAGTGATCCAAAAATCAATTTTTCACGCTGGGAAAGACAAGAAAAATGAAAAAAACTGGAATCACAGAAGTACCAGAACAATCAACAGTGGAGGTTAAGGAGAAAACTTTACCTTCTTGGTGGACGGGACAGAAAGAAGAGCTAGAAGGAAGGATTCAAGCATTGGAGGATGGAATGACGGAGAACAGAGGGTATTTGCAGAGGATCCTACAGCTGGTCAATCAAGCAGCTGAGGAGAAAGATTCACCTCAGTCAGTGAAGAATCAAGCAAAAGTATCTGAGAAATAGGACAAAAATGGAGGTAAACAACCTTGTTTGATTACGGTTCTTAGTGAGCATGAGAAGTATACTTTTCAACCTAATGAACCAGGAGTATTAGCTTCTAAACCTGTGGGGTTTACTGGTACTCTACCCATGAATCAGACATTGCAGGAAGAAAATGTTAGGGGCAGTTCTAGTGAGGTGAAAGTGGACAGTAAAGGGTTGTTTGGGAGTTTAGGGCCTATTTTACCTCGTCATAAATTAGAACTACAGATGTTTGATGGTAATAATCCTAGAGAATGGGTTAGAAAATGCCAAAAATATTTTAATCTCTTGGGAATTCCTGAGGATCAAAAATTGGATGTGGCTGCAATGTATTTAATGGGAAAGGCTGAGACTTGGTTTGATGGCTATATTATGCAGAAGCATAGAGTGACTTGGCATGAATTTGAGGCTGATTTGTGCAATAGATTTTGTGACAGAAACTATTCAGATATCATTGAAGAATTTAATAAGTTGATGCAGAAGGGTAGTGTAGAAGAATATCAAGAAAAGTTTGAGGAGTTAAGACCCTATTTACTACAACAACATATGTATTTAGGGGAGGATTATTTTGTTTCCAGTTTCATTAGTGGCCTCAAGGAGGAATTAAAACATAAGGTGAAAGTGTTGGAGCCTAGAAATTTGTCTGAAGCTTTTAGGCAGGCCAAACTTTATGAGTTGGCTAATGAGATAGAAGGAAAGAAGTCTAAATTTTCTCAAAAAAAATTTCCTTATACTTCTGCAAGTAGTCAACCAAGCAGTGGGACTAAAGGTTTTCAGCCTAAGACAATTCCTCCTAATATTAATACCAAGCAGAGTTTACTGGATTATAGAAGAGCAAATAATTTATGCTTTAAATGTGGGGATAAATTTGCTCCTGGACATCAGTGCAAGGTTAGACAGTTGAACAGTATGGAAGAAGAAGAAGATTCTGCTGATCAGGAATTGACAGAAGATGAAGTTGGAGAAGGGAATGATGTAGCCAAGGAAGCCTTGGAAATTTCTATCAATGCTATTACAGGGAATGTAGGGCACACTACCTTACGAATTCAAGGTTTTATTAGAGGGAAACCACTTAATGTGCTGATTGATAGTGGCAGCACCCATAGTTTTGTGACACCTAAGTGGGCCAAAGAAGGAGTAGAACTAGTTCAAACTCAGCCATTGGTTATTACAGTCGCTAATGGAGAAAAATTGTTCAGTTGTGCCAGAAGCAATAAGGTGACTTGGAAGATGTAAGGCTATGAATTTCAGCATGAATTCAGAGTTTTGTCTTTAGGGGGCAGTGATATGGTACTGGGGGTGGACTCGATGGAAGAGTTTAGTCCTATAATGATGGATTTTAAGGCTAAAACAATTAGTTTTGAAAAGGATGGACATACTGTTCTAATTCGAGGGACTCAGAAATGGCCACTACTCAAACCAATTTCCGGAGAAAAATTTCAGAAGTTAGTTGCAAAAGATACTGAAGTAAATGGAGAAATTTATTTGTTGAATGCTAAAATAGAGGAAAGCATAATTCCTCTATCCTTACAAGAATTACTAGAAGGAGGTGTTTGAGGAACCTGAGGGAATGCCTCATAGCAGAAAACATGATCATGCTATTGTTCTTAAATAGGGAACATAACCAGTCAATCTAAGACCCTATAAATTTGCTCATCATCACAAGACTGAGGTGGAAAAACAGATTGCTCATATGCTATCCTCATCTATCATACAAGTAAGTAAGAGTCCTTTTACTTCTCTTTGCTTACTTATTAGAAAAAATGATGGAACTTGGAGGTTTTGTGTGGACTATAGGCAACTTAACTCTTATACAATTAAGAATAAATTCCTTATTCCTATAGTAGAAGACTTATTAGATGAATTACATGGAGCTGCATTCTTTTCCAAGATTGATTTGAGATCTGGTTATTGGCAAATTAGAATTAAAGATGAGGATGTTCATAAAACTGCTTTTAGAACTCATCAAGGGCATTATGAATTTAAAGTTATGCCTTTTGGCCTTACTAATGCCCCAACTACTTTTCAAGATTTGATGAATGACTTGTTTGCAGCATATTTGAGGAGGTTTGTTCTTGTGTTTTTTGATGATATTCTGATTTACAGTCCTAGTATGGCAGAACATAAAAACCATTTAAGGCTGGTGCTGGAAATTCTGTTGAAAAACAAGTTGTATGCCAAGAGGAATAAATGCTTTTTTGGCCAACAACAAGTAGAGTATTTGGGACATTTAATTTCAGCTAAAGGGGTGGCAACTGATCCTGAAAAATAAAGGCTATGCAACAGTGGCCTTTACCTAAAAATCTGAAAGCTTTGAGAGGATTTTTGGGTTTGACAGGGTATTATAGAAAATTTATCAAAGGGTATGGAGAATTGAGTAAACCCTTGATCAATATGTTGAAGAATGATGGATTTCATTGGTCTGCAGAAGCTAAATTGGCATTTGAAAAATTTAAAAGGGTAATGTGTGCAGCTCTAGTTTTGGCTTTACCTAATTTTGACCAGAAATTTATTTTGGAAACTGATGCTAGTTCCAAAGGAATTGGGGTTGTTTTGTCTCAAGGAGGAAGGCCTATAGCTTATTTAAGTAAGGCTTTGGGACCAAAACATGCAGACCTTTCTATCTATGAGAAGGAATACTTGGCTATCCTAATGGCAGTATCACACTGGAGACATTATTTGGAGAGTGGTTCATTTGTAATTAAAACAGATCACGAGCCTCTAAAACACTTATTAGAGCAAAAGCTGACTACTACTATTCAGAAGAAATGTCTTACTAAATTATTGGGGTTGGATTATACAATCCAGTTCAGGAAAGGCAAAACAAACAAGGTGGCAGATGCACTTTCTAGACAGCAAATGGATTCTAGTGAGTTTTTGCAAATGGGGGTTACTGTTATTGTTCCTACTTGGATGCAAGATATTGAGCAAAGTTATGAAGGAGACATATTAGCTCAAGAAAAACTTCTTATTTTACTTATTCAACCTGACAAGAATGAGGATTGAAAGAGAAGGAAAGGAGTGTTATACTTTAAAGACATAATTTATGTGGGCAGCAAGGGAGATCTAAGACAGAAAATTATTGTGGCTTCCCATGATTCACCACAAGGGGGTCATTCAGGCATTCAAGCTACTTATCAGAGGATTAAAGCTTATTTTTTTGGCCAAAGATGAAGCTTATGATTCAGGAATATATACAACAATGTGAGGTATGCCAGAGAACTAAAAGTGAGCACATTTCCAAACCAGGGCTACTACAACCTATTCCAATTCCACACAATGCTTGGGAGGATTTTATTGAAGGGTTGCCACCTTCAGCAAAGCACAACTGTATTCTGGTGGTGATTGATAAATTTACTAAGTATGCTCATTTTATCCCACTGTCACATCCCTACACAGTGGTGCAGGTGGCTAAGATATATTTGGATCAGGTTTATAAGCTTCATGGTCCTCCTAAGGTGACTATTTCTGATAGAGACAAGTCCTTTACTATTCTATTCTGGCAGGAGTTATTTAAGCAGTTGGGGACAACTACACTTTTCAGTACTGCCTATCATCCAGAGACAGATGGACAAACTGAGAGACTCAACCAATGCTTAGAACAGTATCTCAGAAGTATGTGTTTTTTAAAACCTACATCTTGGTCTAAGTGGTTAGCCCAAGCAAAATGGTGGTATAACACTAATTACCACTATGCTATAAAAATGACCCCATTTGAAGCCTTATATGGTTATAAGGCTCCTGTGTTAAGCTGGTCAGGGGATTCTATAGTGGATGCAGTTCAAACTATGATGCAAGACAGAGAGCAATTCAATGCTTTGCTACGTGAACAACTCATGCAAGCCAGTAATAGAATGAAGCAGATTATTGATAAACATCGTACATAGAGGGATTTTCAGGTGGGAGAGGAAGTTTACCTAAAATTACAGCCTTACAGACAGACATCACTCGCTTTAAGGAGAAACCTGAAGCTTGCTGCTCGATTTTTTGGTCCCTACAAAATACAGAAAAAAATTGGTCAGGTTGCATATCGACTGGAATTGCCACCAGAATCAAAATTACATCCAGTGTTTCATGTTAGTTTGTTGAAAAAGAAAATAGGGAAACCAGGACTTATCTCGCTGAATCCTCCAGAAACGTCTTCTGATGGGCAATTGAAGATTTACCCAACCGTAGTCTTGAATTCACGAGAGATTACTAGACAAAATCAGCGGGTCAGGCAGTTCCTTATGCAATGGACAAATATGGGAACAGATGATGCTACTTGGGAAGATTATACGGTGTTGAAAAATCAGTTTCCTGATTTTGATCCTTGGGGACAAGGATCATCTGGTGGAGGGGGTATTGTTATGATGGAAGGGAGATTAGGGTTTGATCAGAGGGAATTGGGGAGTAATCGAGGAAGGAAAAAGGGGGGAAATTGGCTGGAATTGAAAAATGAAAAGGAATTAGGGATTGAGGCGTCGAAAGGAATGGGGTGGGGTGGATTGCAGGAGCAGGCTGATATCATTAAACCTTCAGCCAAATGGGCCCAGTCAAGTAATGACCCAGATCAGAGTGAAGTGAAGGAAACAGGCCAGCACGTGAGCCCACTTGGAGATATCCTGTGAATCAACAAATGAGTCGTTAGTTTGTTATATTTGCTGGCAGAATTACAGCTGTAGGTACTTGTGAATATATAAGTTGTACCTGAAATTCTAAGAAAATCATGAATGAAATCACACGTTTTCTGTATCTCTCTCTCTTTCTTTCTTTCTGAAATCTTTCATTTTCTTTACAACAATCCTAATTCATAACACATGGATACAGCGAACCAGGAAAAGAAGAAGCAAACTTATATAATCGTAAAAGTAGGATGAAAACGAAAGCAAAGCTTTAGCTATGTAATCCAGACTCAGAAGGGCATGCTTAAAGTTGGGCCAAGTATTTTACATATATTCAGCGAGCCGTACTCCATACTAATGTCCGAATATGTCTGACACAATACTTAAAGAAATAGATCCTAGATAGCATAAAGGAAGGGAAATAAATGTGGAAATACATACAACATTGCAACACACACACACACATATCATATTGTGTTAATGGCTTCACCAAGCCTAATCCTAAACTTATTCATGCAAGGCTCGTCCCATTTGTAGCCAACCTAGCAGCTTTTCTGCCAAGAAGAAAAAAAAAATAATCCCCATATTTCAATAATGGAAGGAGTTTTGCCAATCACTGAAGGACTTGTTTCTTCTTTTCTATTGAATACTAAGCACATCCCAGTCCCCTCTATCATCAGAACAAGAAGGGAAACAAGAGAAAAGGAAGGTATAGGTCGATCCCACCCCATGTAAATAACAACCTTCAAAATAAAGAGTTGCTTGCTGAATCAGCTCAACATGGCCAAGACATGTAATAATAACATGTTCCATTTTCAACCCTGCTTCTGCTTCTGCTTCCTCTCAGCATATCTTTCCTACTAGTACTAGGCATTTTATTCCTACTGTCTGTTAAGCAGGCATGCAAGTCTTCGGGAGGACTGAATATTCTCAATTTCAAATTTAAATGTTCGTGCACACAATACAGTTAGGCATATGTACCAGTAACTTAAGAGGTATATCAATCAGTGCATAATTGCAAGTGTAAAAGAAATATATGGGAAAGAAAATGGTCAAGGACGGCAGGGAAAGAGAATATTTCATATCCCTTATCGCCAGGTGCAGTACGAGAAAAAGATTCTCGCTTGAGTTGCTTTGGATTTGACCGTGCAATACTCAACTTCTTTCCAAGCAACACTTGCTTATTCTTCGCTACAGCTGCAGCAAGGTGTTCATCATCCTCAAAATCCACGTATGCTTGTCCTTTCAAAATTCAATAGAAGGCATAAAACGTCACCACTGATCATAGACTGATAAAAAGCTTCAAATTCAAGCGTTATTTGAATTTGGCCCAAATTAAGAAAAAGGAACCAGACTTGGGGAAGATTGCTAATTTTTCCATTAACTCAAGCTCTAAATCCTATGCATTAAATTTTTATTTCAGAAATTTTACATACAGACGTGTAGTAGTTTTCTTCTGTGCTTATTTTTCTTCTTTCATCATTTATCTAAACACGTTTCATGTCACCATAAATTGGGTGTGCCATGTACTAAAGGAGAAGATAAAAGTTGCTCATATAGCTGTACAATAAAATCTATACTAAAGAAAGATCATGATATAGAACAGTCTGAGCACCAGACTGACTTCTAGAAGCACTTATGCAGTCAGTTTCTCATTTTTATTGTAGCATATTAAGTACAAAAACTAAAAGGTTTAATATGAAAATAAGTGCCTAAACTATACTCAAAGTTAACTTTTGGTACCTAAAGAATTTTTCGTTAAAAACAGATGCATAATATTTTCTCCATTACACTTTTAGGTGTCTACCGTAAAAAAAAGGCTAAGTGACACATATCAGGCAGGGATTTAAATAGCGTTCGTGGCCGCGTTTTCTTTCGCGTCTGGTTTATCGCGGTTGCGGACATAATGGATGCCATCGCAGTCACTGCGGGTGTCGCGGTCGTATTTTTTTTAAATTCGCACAACTTATCTTAAAATATAATAATTATAGTTATAATTTTAAAGTCATTATTATTTAAAGAAATAAGACTATCATCATAGAAAAAAAGCTTAAAAAAATAAAATGGATAAAAATAAATAACCAATTATGATTCATTTACGAAAATAACATATTATAACTTACTAAAATGAACATGTGTAAAATAAAAGATCCAAATCAGAAGATCAACAAAGTCTCAAAAAGTGACTAAATTGCAACACGCATAAAAATTGGCGACCATATTAAAATACATAAAAGTCTCAATCAGGGGACTAAACTAAAATTGAAACAAAATTATAAGCTTGAATCGAAAAGATGAAAATTTCATTTGATGACTAAAAGGAAAATTTACAAATGGAATGGAAAGAGTCTTATCGAGCGATTTACCCATGTGACGAATTCATGAAACCCCACCTCTAAAAACGACGCCGCACATATGGTTGGTTATAACCCAAAAGCTGGGTTTTGAAACCCATATTTCATTTCTTCATTTTGCTCAAAGCCAAGGAAAATTTTAGAGCCCCCTCGGTTGTGTAGTCCATCGATCATGGACACCGACAATGGCCAACCACGGTGGTCGGGGATGGTCCAAGAGTCTCAGAAGACTTGTCTCGTTCCCCCAAACTCGAATCTAAAATCTATTTTTCCTAAAACCAAACAACAAGCCCTAGATCTAAGAAATTACCTTTCGATAATTTGGATTCCGATGACCTTCAAGCTTTCCGACTACACGCGATGAAGGTGAGTTCTCCTATCTTTTTTTTTCTTCATTTTTTTGTTTACGAATCACCTCATTTTTTGTTGTATTTGACTGATTTGGTGTAACAAAAAATAACAGTAATAGCGGGTCATTATCACCGCAATTGGATGTTACCCATTAAGTTGCAACCGATAGATGTTGTTATTGGTGTGATTCCACGTTCATCGGGTAATCTCAATTTCGGATGACGGCTCTACCGCAAAATAACGACCGCTATAACATTTTCATTCCACTATTTAAAACCCTGATGTCAGGTTTAGATTAATATATATATATATATTTAAATAATATTTATTTTAAAAAAATAAAAAAAATAAACGAAACATGTGTAACTTAACGGGTTTTTTTGTAACGGTAAGCACCTAAAATTGTATTGGAAAAAACATTAGGCACATATTTTTGACAAAAAGTTTTAGGCACCAAAACATTAGCCCTCATGACACATAACATGGGCATTATTATTATTTATATCATTTCACATATTCACATGTACATGTCACTTTTCATATGATTTCATATTCATATGTCGCATGGCTTATAGCACTTCTCATATGTTCCTATAAACATGTCAATCATTGTCATCTCTTGTTCACATATGTTTCCCATATATCACATATATCATGTAACACATATATCTCTTATCCTTTCTCATATGTTCACAAATGTCATATTATATGGTTTATATCGTTTCATATAGTTTATAGTTTAATCTCTTATATTCACATAATTCAATATCATTGAACTTAGTTCACTTTCTCATATCATCATATATGCATATAATTTTATATATCCTATCAATACCATATAAGCTTACACATGTATTCATATATATTCTTTCATATAATCCATATAGTAATGTCATATATTTATATCACATAATAATTTCACTTGACTATATCTTATGTCCATTTCTCTGCTCAAATCATATAACACATATATCATAATTTCCTTTAAGTATATACAACTTTCCTATAAGGCTTATCCTATAGTTTTGTATTATCATTTATGTTCATGTCCCCTAATTTATATATATTATTCTCATATAGTCTCATGATTCATTATTTTATGATTTCTATTTTGTTCTCTTAAGTTTTCTCTCACTTTTCCTTTAATACAATAAGTCTATTATACTAGTTTCCTCTAAACTTAACTCATATAATTTATGTCTTATTAGCATATCTTAATCTAAACATAAATCTACATGTTTATAATCACTTAGCTCATATTCTTTCTGTTGTTATCATATAAGTCATTTACTATTTTATATGATTCATGATCTTATGACTTACTTTACATGCTCATATAACCTTTTCATATAGTTTCATAGTTTAGTATCACATAACTTTACTTATATCATATTATCATGTGTTCACATATATCACATAACACACATATCATGGACACTTAACATGTATCATATAAACATGTACTCCCATGATTAATGTTCACATACTTAACATATAAAACATATACATATATCCATGTCCACAAAGAAATCATATCAATGCAACAATTGCATTCATGAACTCATACAATCTAATAGTGGAAATAGACTCATCGCAAGTCTTATTTTCATAAAACATCTTATACATAATAACTAGCACTCACCTGGCCTCACTAATCAATACCGATCCCTTATCTCTTCTCGATGACTATTACTTGTCGACTGGTCCGAATGTTATTCTCGATCGATATCTACACAACCATACATATTATATACATATCAACATACCCAATATCATAATATAATCCTTAATTTCTTAAACCAAAAGAAATGCTTAATTCCGTTTTACTTGGAGTAGTATCGATACCCCCTGTAGGGTATCGATACTTCCCTAGGCTTGGTATCGATATAATTTTTTGCATTCGGAACCTTATTTTAACAATGGTACCGATACTGTCCTAATGGTATCGGTACCCTTGGTATCGATACTGCTCTTCTGGATATCGATACCCCTTAAATATCTTATCAAATTTTTGCTTAGGGTATCGATATTGATTCATAGAGTACCAATACCATCCCTCAAATATTGACCATTTTTTCTTGGAAGTATCGGTACTGGATGAACAGTACCGATACCCCATGTCCATAATTCATCTATTTTACCCGAAAATCTTACCAAACTTACTTAATTCTTCCACTATAACCTCCTTTTAGTCTTTTAAGCTCAACTACACTTATTCTAACCAACTTATATCACTTTACGATAAAAAAAATATGGTTTGAAAAGTCGCCACCAATCTTTGATTAGGGTGTGATTGGGCAC